TGCATAATGAATGTAAAACACATTTTGATCATGAATAATTCTCAACTATGGAAAAAAATAATGGTACACAATCCGGTGGAGTATGTAAAAAATGTAAGAATAAAAAAAATGTTATCCGCCGATGTCCATAATCAACGTGAAATCGAAAATTGTCATTGAACCACAGTGCACATATAATACAATACGGATAGTATATATGGAATGTCATGCACTTTCATTTGGTCACAATTGCAAATAGACAAAGATCAATAAACTATCCGTAGTGTATACAAGCTTGCATTGTTTTTAAGTGCCTCAAGTCTGCACAAGAAGAATACAAAATCAAAAGTGAAAGTGCCCGTACGCCGCTAGTCGACGCAACTTATGGTGATAAATTTGTAGATGTATGTATTTTTGAAAAATCCTTGTCCTCAAAACGGGTTTAAAATTATTTCGATACCTACAATGCTCGTGTATTATTTTTTTATCGAATCCTGTTGTCCATACTGATCATAAAATTCCAAAGAAATTTAAAAAATACATTAGTGTTGTATTGCGGATTTGGTTGAAAACATTATCATAAGTATAACACTGTGGCAAAAGTTGATATGTCACTTTAACAATTCCAGTGTAATTATACTGGTAGGTATGTTTTAAAATAGAAATAATGTATATTACACAAAGTTGCAAATTATGGTATGTTTACTTTCGTTCTCAAACTATGGTTGCAAATACGGAAGCTAATATATATATATATCAATACTGTTTGGTGTCGTGTGACAGTAAATAGTTTAATTTGCTGTTTAAAAATTATATGTCCTCACTTTTCTCTCAACTTGTATATTATCCAAAAATAGATATTTGGTCCAGTTTTAAATTGCTACCAGGCAAATTTTTAGAAATAACAAAACAAGTTTAATATCAATTAAATTCTATAATTGTATTTTCCCGAAAGTTAGTATTGAGTATAGTGTTTATGGCTTTTTGTACGCCTAAGAATAATAATATTTTGATTGAACGTCTCATTATCTCCGGTCAGTGTTTTTAGTTTATCGCCAATTATTGGGTTACTTTTTTTTTATACCAAATATGTTAAAAACACACGGTTGAATATTGAGTTGCAGTATAGGCTTTCAAGCCCACATAATATTGTTATTGCAAATAAATATATAAAGTTATGTATGGCGGATATGATAATTTAAAAGTACAAAGGCTACTGGGAAAACACGCATATGACGCATTATGAGATAAATGATAATTTTGTTTTTTTTTAATAAACAATACGTGATATCAAAGAATAACGGAACGAACAATTTTATAGTACAATATTTTCAAAATTATTGTACATTAATAGTTGTTTAATCAATGTACCGCATATTTTATAACGAGAAAAACTGGAGGAAAATTCATATCACTACTGGCATGCAAAATATAGACAGAATAAGAACACACACTATATATATATATATAGAAGTCAGTAATGTCCTTATCTTTTTAATATGAAATGACAGCTACAATAACCAAATCTTAATCACACTTACTTATGTCGAGCCTGTTACCAGTATGCACTTAATACTATTGTTTTATTCATGTTATCTTATGAGTTCTTTAATGAGCGTTGACTATCGTTGTGATGTTATTATGGCTATTTTGTAAGACCCGGGTTCTTTGCGCAATAGAATATTCTTTCACTGTCGTCTATCTACTTATCGCACTCATCTAAGTTTCCTTGTGACTTTAGATTATGTCTACAAATATCAGTTGGATCCTCTCTTCCATTCACTCTCGAAGACGGTTCTGGCCTATGCAATAATAAATTTATCTTAGCACCTAATTAAAAAAACGTTTTACACATAAAACCCGTAACAACATAAAAAACTTAACTACTGAAGATAATATTCAATGGGTATACAAAATCGTGCAAACGACCTTCGTCGAACAACAATTAAATGTGTCACGTTCGAGCGAGAGACAATTTTATCTCAAATCGAGAAATATGCCATTAGGAAACAATAAAAACTTATTTTTATATATATTGACGCCAATCAAAATTTAAGTACATAGAAATAAATCTGAAGTTATGTTCGTATGCTTCCAAAATAATTTACTTATTAGACAGAAAATGAAAGCGTGCGGCGCGACCGTTTATATGAAAAAAAAATGGTGTACGATCGGGGTTGAATCGTTCAGACCGGCGGTGTATACCCAAACAGGCCCCTAGCCGTTTTTTATTAACTATTATTTTTAGGGAAACAAATAACAAAAATAGGGTAATGCGATAGCCCACATACAGCGATAACAAACAATGTTAGGTCTGAAATTAGTGACGTTGTAACACACAGTTATTATAATGGCTCCCCCATCTTGTTATAAACAGAAAAGTCTACAATTATTTATTGCCTTCCATCGATTTTTTTTGAAACTATTTAATACAATTTGTCAAAAAAAACTTAACTTCTACATTTGTTTTACGGGCGGTTTTTTTATTCTGTATTTTTTAAATTATATTCTAAGGTAGCAATAATACTATTTTGTTGTTTAGCTCCGAAGCGGAGCTGGGAAGCATTTGTTTTAACATTATGTGTCCGGACTATCGATACATTTTTAATCACAGGGTAGATTTCAAGGTAATGGTACAAAAAGTACCCTTGCAAAAATTAACATCCGATAAAAGTAACGAAATAACAAAACATAACGGGGGAAAAAAGTATTGACAAAAATTGTCTAGAGCAGTTGATGATAATATTGATTCAGAAGCCGTTATGATAATAATGATAAGTAAGAGTAATATTGATTACTATAATAACAGGTTCCACAGGTAGAATAATAAACACTTTCAGGCCAATAGCGCAGTCAAGGTCTTATCTTTAAAACTAAAATGCCCTCGGCGGGATAATAGTTCTGTGAAATAGATTATCCAAAAGTAACAGCAGTAAAAAGTGGAAACAATAAAATCATCGAGAAACAGTGACAAATAAATTGTTCTGAATGGGTTTGGCGTAGGTACACCAAACTAAAATAATGTTTATCGCATATTCGGTTGAAGTGTTCAAAGTTGAGCTCACTCAGATGTTCGTCTATTTTAACAACTAGAATTCCAAGATGCAAGATGCAAAGGTATCCAGCGAACATGTGCATTTATCTGATACAACATCAACTGAAGTCGTTAAAATAATTAACGAAATGAAGGAAGATCAAAAGTGTGTGATAGTCATAGTACATCAAGTGAACGATTTGCGAAGGTTGGAACAATCGTTACTCACGCGTCCCTATGGTCATGAACATCGTACTTTATGTAAAGTTAACGAGGCAAATCCGCTAGAAAAAAAAATGATAAGATGCAATGCCGTTTAGTAGTAGTCTCTGGCAAACGGTTAAAAAGTGAACAAATATCGTTCCATGAATTTTTAATTAATATAGGAGACGATATCAGAAAAACGTCTGTATACCTACAGTGTAGTTTTAACTTGTGTTCATTGATAAATTTAATAACTACTGAATTATTTCAATGGTGCTTTTTAATTAATTGCTAGTAATTAGTACAAATCAAAATAAATATTACACTTATTAAAGTATATTTTCCGGGTTACTCGATGTCAGCGCACTTACTATGATCGTTTTTTCTGGCTACTTTTTGTCCAGGTAGGTACTTTATTTCTTATTATCGATTTCTTCGCAAAGCGTAGATCCCGTTTTTCGTCAATCCGAGCTGCGTCCCTTCCAAACTTAACGCGTGCAGATCTGCTCTAGTACAATAATAGGTATATGAAAAAGTGAAAAGAATCCGCTCGGTGGAAGAGTCGATTTCGGGAGAAACGCTAAAAGATATGCAAAGTATTGCTTTTCGCAAACTTCAAAGTGCAAAAACTTAGTCGGTTTTTTTTTACTACATAGATGTGCCAGGTCTCATATTGTTCAGAAAACAATCCAGATTCGGAGAACAGCAGTAACTCGATTTTGGGCAATACTGACAAGAGGTATCTTTTGTTTTCCGCATCATAATATATATATTCGTACACTGTTCTACAAAATTCGAATGTATTTTGTCCAACGAACGAAGACGTGACAATATCCATTAGATTTTTTCCACGAGGAACCTAAACGCGTCTTCAAAACTGCTCTAGCGCGTCAAATTCCCGAGAAAAAATGTAAAAGTTGGAAAAACCCTAAAAACTCGATATTAAAAAAAAATTAAAGGTTTCCATCACAGAAAAAAAAAACCTAATATAATTAAGTGTCGTAAAAATCAGAGCAATTATTTTTATGTTTCAAAACGGTGATAATACTAAAAATTAAATATAGTACATTGATAAAAAAATTGTTGAGCCCAGAGGTCAAATTTACACGGACAAACAATTTACAGTTAGGCCCACTAAAATGATAGTTAATAAAAATGTATATATATTTGCTTCAACTAAACATTTAGTTGGCCGAAGTCCGAACTATTTATTTAGTTATTCCAACCATTAATTTTATTTTGTCCCCATAATAAATTGTTGTTGGTCAAACCACAGACTATACGACTATTTTCACATACTAGGAGGCCAGCACGGTGGACGTTCTCAAAAAAAAATTGAGTATATTATATTATATACCTACTACTAGTTGTATGTATGTACATTAGATTCAATGAAAAAAAAAAACTCGCCGGAATTTCGTACAGTACCGTGTCAACGAGCGAAACAGGTTGTCGGTATAGTTCCGTTTTTTTCCCAAAGCACCCGACACGGGACTGTCACGGGACCACGCGATACCTTTATAGTATTTTTATCGAGCGCATTGTTTTTTTTTTTTACATTTTTGTAACCTTGCAAAATGCCATCAAAATTAAAATCAAGTACATAAAAAGTGTAAAATATTCCGCACAGCGTTCTGGCATCCGACACGGACCAACCTAACCGTGTTGACCGGTAGATGGCGGTCAGGTCTACCGGCGGCGATCCTAACCGTATCGTACATTGCTGGTGTGTGCGCGCGCGAACGGCTAAACTGGCCGCGCCGGCACCGGCAAAATTACCAGCACAGCACATCGTTCAGTCGCGAGCGAGAACACGGGCCACTGCTTGCCCCCCGCTTTAGCCGTGCTCGCGTTCCTGTACGATAATAATAATAGTAATAGTAATAATAATAATAATAACATCGTATCGTATATGCCGTTTACTACTGCTGGTCGAGTCTAGTACACACGCGCGAAATCGAATTTAAAAAAAAAAAAAAAATTGTTCGTTAAATAAAAAAATTCGTTCGCCGGCCGACAAGTGTTACAAAAAAACCCGCGGTTGTCCGTTTTATTTTTTTTGCCGCCGAAATCGGTCGCTATTCGTACGAGATAGTTTTGAAAAAAAAATTGTTTATTCAAAAAAAAAAAACCTGTTCGTTTGGCCGTCGTCGCTAAGTGTTGTGCTTTTCGAAAAAATAGTTAAATTTTCTTTTTTTTCTGAAATCGCTCCGATTCGATTTTTCGACTATAATTTTCCGTTCCTATTCTCCTTCTGTGTGTGTCGACTGTGTCTTTTATTCTTTACGTCTTGTGTGTAGCATTCGTTATCTGTCGAAAATGACTCATACCGCGGTGATTTAATTTGTTACAATAATAATAATCGTGTCATTTATTATCGTTTTGAAACCGTTCGGCGCGACCGGCAAAAAAAAATACCCATATTTTTTTTAAATCTCTTTTTTTTTTTTATCTGTATTTCGCCGTACTCTGCCAGAATGGACGTACTGCCCAGCGGTAACATATTCAGGGAGCTGCAGGACATACACGACACGGGCTATTTTTCGGCTCACGTTTCGCTCGAGGATCACTGGCAACAGGTGAGCGGTGTTCAAAATACAATATTTAGAAACAATACTACCGCCATATACATGACCTAGAGCAACCGTTAATATAAATATGCACAATATAGTTAACCTACAGTCACGTGACATTCTAAATCTAAGTTTGGATGTATTTTTGTTTTTTTTTCTTCGTTCAGGGAACTTTTAAATTTCACGACAAATTTTTGTTGGGCACCAAATTCATAATATTATTATGAAAAAACGAGCACTAAGGTAGGCCAACGCTTGAAAATAGGGGAAAAGCCCTTAAAAATAGACGTTCAAATCGATCTCTCCAAGTAGGTGCATGCGAGCTGAGACGTTGTGGTGGTTTTGTTGAAATAGATTTGTAATTTTTTTTTTTGAATTTTTCTGATGACGTTTCTTATCAATTTCCGATTTTTTTGGCGCCCGACCTACGACGGCCGCGGTCGACCGGCACCAGCCATTGACACGTGTGTGCCATAATAATGATAATAATAACAATAATTTGTTAAACATGACGGTTTTATTACTTACCTCTGCAGGTTTATTCCGACATGACATACAATTGCACACCGACAATGTGTCGTCCGCGTTAAATATTTTAATGCCTAAATGGCAAACAATAATACTATACTTTCGAATTATAGCGTCAATTATATATTTACTAATAATACACAATAATATAATATTATAATATGCACAATATGCGGTCGGCCAACGGTGGTTTCACGTTGTTCGTTGATCCCAGTAAAAAAACAATACTATACTACACTTAACGTTGCTAGACATTTATCTAATATATAAATATCGACCAAAGTATATGATTACATAACGGTATGTTCTCATTTCCGTAACTTAACTAATTAGGTGTATAATATATATATGTATGCATAATTCAATTATGATAATTGTTACTATTATTAATTATTATTATAGAAATAGATTTTTCGTCGGTCCGAGAGATAATGGAAATGTTCACGTATAATTACCGTTATACCAAAAGCCAAAGTTCAGGGCTTGGGTTTTTTTTATATTATATAAAAAACAAATAAACAAACTAGTCGACGGCGGCCACGATTGAAAACTTTATGAATTTTTTTATGACAACGATAGGGCCGATTGAATTTTTTCGGTCCCCGTTTTTATTTTTTATTTTATTTCAACGACCTACTCAAGTTTTTTTTTTTTTTAATACACGTTTCATTGTTCCGGTACCACTACCGGTAGTTAATAATATTATTATAAACTTGCTACGTAAACAGTAGCACTAAAGTGGTTTGTGCTGTGCGAGGTCAGGTTATTATTACCTAACCACTTATTAAAATTGTTTTTTTTTGGAATTATTGTATACCCCGGAATAATGTTATAGATTAAAATCAAGAAGTCCACAGTAATGTTTTGGAACCATAAACCGTTTGAATACCGACCGTGTTGAATACACTTTGGGTCAGTCGTTAAAAAAATTGTTTTTTTTTTTTATCAAAATATTAGAAAAAGTTTTCACCGAATTTCTGACGACAACCACCGCAAAATACATGCAACGCGATTTTCCAGTCATTCGACATGATTTTTTTTTGTAGGGAAAATGACGTCACAGTTTATACTTTGCCACTGTGATGGCCAAGACGGGTGGACGGATACGCTTTGGGTGTTTTTTTTCGTTTAAACCGTCTGAATTACATAAATTTATACGCTTTTAACATCAGGAATTTGTAATTAACGTAACGTTCAAACTAAAAAGCCGGCCGATGTGGATACATGATAAAAAATGTAAAATTGCAAAATCAACATGATTGCTGTTCTTTTCGATAAATGTTATTATTAAATAAATTTGACCGTATTGTTCTTAAAATAGAATTTCTTTTTGCGCTAGTAAAAAAAATCGCAAACGGTTAAGTTAACTCATTCGTGTAATTTACCTTCCGATCGATAACCCCTCTAATGACCCCCCCCCCTCCAAAAAAAAAAAAATGTTGAACTGCAAATTAAATTAATATACATTATAAAAAAAAAAAAAAAATAATGAACGGCACGCGCACGTAATTGACTGTATTATTAATATTGTGTGTGTATGTATATATATATATATATTCTACTGCAGTGTACATATTATTATTATACAATAAAGAAATACGTTGCCGGAGGAATGCGCCGGTTCTTTATCTTTTTTACCAGTGTTGTATTTTGTAAGTACGTGACATCTGACACCGTCTTGATTTCGGTACGAGCGTCGGCGATTGGGGGGGGGAGGGGGGGGGTTGATAGGGCAACGGGGCAAGAGGGCAGAATAAAATAAAAACCGTTCGCCGATAACAATCGCGAATATAATATTATTACATTACACTAATAATATTTCCCGCGAACTTGCCGGCAGGTCACATTTTACAAAGTACATTAATATAGAAAATATATATATATAAAGTACATACCCCAAGCGTGGGCGCGTTAATTACATTGTGTTACCTACGCCTAATTTTGTATCGCTGGAAATAATTATATTTGTGGCGTACGGTGTTTAATAATTGTGTTAGCAGTTTTAATATAATTGCTGGCCTATTTGTGTGTTAATCGGGCACCTGTTGTGTGGTGGTTCACGCGCTATGTAGTCTCGGATTATGTACAACAGCGGCGAAAATCGATTTTCCCTCCATAATATTATGTTATGTGTAAAAAAAAAAAAAACAATAATAATATTATTATAGAGTAATAAGTTATTAACGCAACGCCGGCAGACTCTTGTGTATTCAATTTGTTTACAGCTCTGGCACCATCGGCTTTATATTATTATATTATTTGTATACGACGGAAACATATCGCTTTTCCGTTATCTCTGCCTTGGGGTTATTATATTATATAATAATATATACATGTACATTTTTTCTTGTAGTGTTCATCTCGCCTTATCCAACGAAAAATTGGCGGCCGTCGAGGCAGAAGGAAAATAAAATTTGCCCTCGTTCCGCCGGCTGCGACTTTTGGGCCTCTTTACTCGCGCCATTGGTCCAAAACGCTGTATACCGTTGCTCATTGATACATTGCCGGTTGCTCATCTATATAGTGTTTAATGCATATTTTATATTTTAATTACACTACATAACGTGCTCGACGTATGCACAGACAGACACGCACACGATGATACAAAATAGAACATACATAAATGTACATATATATATATATATATACGGTTATTGTCATTGTCGTGGAATCGTCAGAAACGCATTAGTTAATGACACACACACACACACACAAGCTGTATACTCATCGGTGGTGGCCGATCGCGGCTAATGAATGACATTTTAGGCGCCTTGTTTATGATCGGTCGCGTGCGTACATACCGATATAATATTAATATATACATTACATTTTAGTTATATAATAATAATGTGAACCGGGGTCGGTTTCTCGTCGGATTACTCGGCTTGTACCGGAGGGTGCCCGATGACGCATACCGACGTGACAAATGTAATTGTTGTCGCCGTCTTCAGTGATCAGAAAAAATAAAAACCGCAACCCGTTCGTCGATGCAGTAAAGCCACGCGATACCGATAGAAAATAACACTGAAATCGGGCAGTCATTTTGTGTACCAAAGAAAGTAAAAATGCTACGTTACTTTTCCATGGTACATATGAAAAATATTAGATAAGGCCATATCACGGACTATTTGTACATAGTCTGTGGTGCTATTTGTTAAATCATAGAAAAATAGATGGCAGTAAATAGTATGGACAAAACTTTAGCTGTTCACAAAATGGCAGCCTCCTACTAGTGGACATTTTCATATGGCAATACGCGTTCCATACATCGAGTTCAGTTGAAAATAATCAACAACGTCCGTTTTTTTTTCCTATCCTGTAGAATTCTATAAAAATCACACTTACACCCATTCGGTTTAGACCACTTCGTCGTTGGAGTGGCCATATACCGTGGTGATATCGAATTTCTGCGGTTTTTATTGTTCGGACTACAATAATAAAAGTGGCCTATAGGTGTAGTACGGAAAATGTGCGTTTTGGCGGTATTTCGTGTTCAAGCCGAGCAGGGTCCTTAATGGGAGGAGGTGCTGGTGGTGGTGGTGGTGGTGGTGGCGATCGATGGAGGCGATAGCTGTGGAGCCGCTGCCGCCGGTCGACACTGGGTCACAAAACTCGGTCGCCCCCCTTCAAAAAAAAAAAAAAAAACCGCTGATATACATAATCCGGATGGCGGCAAGCGATTATTATTTTTTTTATTATTATTATCATAAGGGGTAGGCGACGGGGGAGAAGGCGTTATTATTATACCGTTATTCCGTGGCGCTACAATTACAACAAAACGGCAGCTCGTACCGTCACCTATATTATAACCCGTCTTGGGCGCCATAACAGAGTGTTGTATACGTACATACATATAATATGGTTAGATTTAGGGGTAAGTTCACAGTCGCGGTTTTCCCATACGCCATAGACCATCATTAATAATAAAACGCTCGGTGGCGTAATAAATAAATATCGTGGCTTATCCGTCGCGGGTCCTACCCTCTCGCCGCCGCGTCCACACCTTGGTCTTCGCGTTCCGGAGGGCATGTGCGGTGTATACGGCACATACAATGTACGTATGTATGCAAGTGTACATGTATAGCGAAGGAGAGAGAGAGAGAGAGGGGTGGTACCGAGCATAAAACCGCGGCGGTCGCGAGGCCGTTTGTGCGCTGCTCTCGCATTGTTGTTGTCGATGTCGCCGAAAACCCAAAAGCACCGCACACGCCAACGCTATACATCATCCGCGGCGAAATGATAAATGGATCGACGGGCGGAGGCGGTTTAAGACGGGAAAAGATGGCCCGGCGGTATACAGCATCAGTTTGCTGTTGTGTACCTAAATCCACACACACACACACACGGGGACGACAGGTGGGCGCAGGTGGCGGTGCTCTCTCCTCGGGCCACGGCAACAACACACTACTGCGGCAATCGGTGGAAAACCGGTAAATGTATTTCGTCCGCTCTGCCCTGTCACTGTACACTATCATCTA